CCACAACTCTTTTGGCCCGGCTATCCAGCCAGTTGTTTTTTTTACCATTTCAGGCATAACTGCACCAAACTTGGGCTGAAAGGCACTAGAGTCTTGTGAGACCTAATGTTTCTCTATATGCAGGCTGACAGGTCTCTTCAAGTGAGAGTCATGCCATCTGTATGGCTGCCTCCCAAGCCTGGTTGATAGAAACTTAGAAAATAGTAATGCAAACATTGGCAAATTTTTCATCTTCTCTAGTACGATATACTGATACGGCAATCTTCTGAACAGAATTAGAAACAGTCTCTCTTCCCACCATGTGTAGCTACAGTCAGCAGTAGTCTGCTTCTGTTACCTCCTCTTGATTAGGATTCAGTTATACCTGAGAGAATTGCAGGTAGTGGCTTGCTGGGAGCACTGCCTTGCGCAAGCACATGCAAAGTCAACTTTTTAGTTTACTTTGAATGGGCCATATCCTGAAAAGTATGAATTATTTCAGGGACCGGTTATTAACAGATAGTCTTTGACTCTATTCTGGGTAGTGGAACTTTCAATCAATAATTCAGAGTTTAACAGTAACTTGCATGAGGGTTTTTACAGAGGTAAGGAAAAGACCGCACAACCCTTGACTGCAAATTGAAAGCAAACTACCTTTATTGTCAGCTGTCTTCATAAATATCTAGATGTCAGGAGTTCATATTTATTTGTTGAAGTGTTGTTGGAGGCCAAACATCTCGGATAGCTTGCGGTTAGTGAATGCAGTGAAGAGAACTTCGGTGTTGTTGAGTGATGTGCAGTTGCGTTTCATAGGCTATTTTTAGTTCGGGACATAATGGTTTTTTTAATACGTCAGAAGAACGTTGCATATGCACGTAGCATTTAAAAGTGTGGAATTAGCAGGGGAAATCAGTAACGCTCTTTGTAGACAGACTGAGAAGGACGTAACTATGGAATATCCTTTTATGATCCAGATGCTTGGTACAGCATGTCATGTATCTGATACAAAACAAGGTAAAATCTTTCCTTTAATTAAAACCAAAAAACCTAACTGCTTTTTGCCTGAATATCGAATTGATTGACCATGTAAGGGAGTTACTTAGCTTAATTTTACTCCCTTTTTTTTTGAGGATGAATCCAAGTTAGTGACTTCAGTCTTGCTTTTCAGGAGTCTAACAGAAAATACAGTAACTTTGAGCAAACTATTGGAGAAACCATTAGAACTGTGCTGTGACTGATCAGAATTGCACTTCTGACTAGATAATTTTTTTAAAGTTATAAAATTAATACTTAGTGTAAATTTCAAAACGTTGGCATTCTTGTGACTACAGGTGAAGCTTAAATTTGTCCTCTTTCAGGACACTTTGTGCTTCCTGTAAAATTCAAAATCAAGGATGGAAGGGATCTGGTTTGCATAACATTTGATTTGGGCATAATAAAGGATTATAGCAGCATGGATTGCTTGCATTAGATAAAACTAAACCATAGAGGTGTACAAGACTCTTAGAAACAGCATTAAACAGGGTCTACCTTACTTTGATCCAATAGCAATGTTGAGGTCGTCGTGTTTGCATTTCAGTGAATGACTCAGCTTTTCCTGTTTGTACCGTCAACCACAGTTCAACACTGAATGTATCTTCCCAGCTAAAAAGCAGTTAACTTGGAAGCCTCGTGTCTACCCTGATCATATTAGTGTTATAACGTGTAAACTACCACGTTTATTTCTTCATTTGATAGCTCAAGGGAAACAATGAAATTAGTAATTTGTGATACATGAAACTTTATAAAGAGTCTATGAGAATATAGAAATGTTTTAAAAGCTTGATAATGTAAAAGAAACAATCTTCAGATTTTTAGAACTATTATGTCAATTTATTTTAAAAGAGAGTGTGCTTGCATTTGCATATGTATTGTGTAATAGTTCCACTGTGTAAGAGAATTGCAATGAAGTGCTTTTGAACCACGTCAGTGTCCTTTTCCTAACACACACAATCCTCTAGTTGACTTTGAAAGCACTGTAGCAGGAGTTCTTTGGCAGATCTCACTCCCAGCCCCAGCTCCGTCCAACGATCTTCACAAAAACATTAGGCTCTCATCAGAGTAATTTTGGGTCCTGAGACCTACTGCTCTTTTAACAGCAGCTATTCTAACAAAATGCTATTCAGAGCCTAAAATACTGGTTTTTTCCTTCCTAAATGTTAGTTTAGCATCCTGCTTGATTTATTTAACCACGACATACTATGCTAGGTAACAGCCCATGTCCTTCTATGTGGTAGGTCAACAGTGCCTCCTAAACAGCTATGTATGTAGTCATCTTAATTTGTGGAAGATGCAAATAGAGAATTGAATCAGCAATACAAGCGCTGTATTTCATTTCAAGAACCATGATTTGATTTGTTTTTTAATGTAGCCTGCTATTGGCCTACAGTGCCAGTCCCTGAATCCTGAAAGACATTATGCTTAACAGCAGATGAAGTCCAAATGAAAGAAAACAGTAGCAGGAAATATTAAAATAAATGTGTACTTTGGGGTATTTGCTTATAACATGGAATTCGATATTCCTTTATCCATCTCTCTGATGGATAAATATCCATCAGATATCCATCTGATTTAATAAGGCTAAATCTTGGATATGTTTCTGTCTCCCTAGAACCAACAGCCAACATGTCTAGCAAACGGGCAAAGACGAAGACCACCAAGAAGCGCCCTCAGCGTGCCACTTCCAATGTATTTGCAATGTTCGATCAGTCACAGATTCAGGAATTCAAGGAGGCCTTCAACATGATCGACCAGAACAGGGATGGCTTCATTGACAAAGAGGACTTGCACGATATGCTCGCCTCCCTTGGTAACGTCACTTCTCTTCTGTTTATGGTTGCCAAGCAAATCTGTGCTGTTATAATGAAAATATTGAGTTTGGGATAGCTTATGAGAGGGGTCTCAGGTTGCATTACGCCATCAGATTACTTTTTTGTTTAGTTTGAAAGCTAAAGCAAATATGAATCCTTGTATTTGTAGGAAAGAATCCAACGGATGAATACCTAGATGCCATGATGAATGAGGCTCCAGGCCCCATAAACTTCACGATGTTCCTCACAATGTTTGGTGAGAAGTTAAATGGCACCGATCCGGAAGATGTCATCAGGAATGCTTTTGCTTGCTTTGATGAAGAAGCAACAGGTACGTGGGTGAAACTCAGCCGCTTGGCGGGGGTGGGAGGGTCCTTTTATGTTGTTTATTTGGGTTTCTAAATAGTATGCTGATTTTTGTACCTTTATAAATGAAGTATGAAACAGTAATCCTTCTACATGGCATATTCTACCAAGTAATGAGAATTTGACTTATTACTGAGTGAGAGTAAAAACTTTCTGGCTGTAATGTGTGAGTACTGAGGACTAGTAGTAATGTTCTTCTGTGAGGCTTTGAAGAAGAGTGTTTTAACTGGGCAGTGTGTATGTTCCTCAAAGTGCAAAATAAGATGCATTTGCTCTAAGAAGATGAGGAATTCAAATTGGTAATATGTGATTTTCTGTGGCATTGAAAAGGTAACAGATGTGAAATCTGTAATACAACTGAGTTTGTCTTCCCCCTGCAGCAGATCTGAGATGCATCTGAATTCTTCGGTGTTTTTAATATTTCAAGACAGGCTGTCCAGACTACATAAACTCTTTTGAACCCTCATCTTGCCTAGCGTATGTTATGGCTCTGATGACAAATGCCATGTGTCATGCCCTCGCCCACAGCTCAGTTTGTTTTCAGGTTGCAGGAAGGGCTGTAGCCTTAATGATCTAAAGATAAAAACTGGGTGCGGTCTAGAAGGCAGAAATGACAGATTGGACTGAGCAAGATGGGGGGAAAGAGGAAAATGCAGAGCTCAGTTTTACGTTATCAGACTTTCAAGGTTGCGCCTGTGATCTTGGGGTTAGAGTTTATGCTTTTATTTATTTATTCGTGTAGGCTAAGATTCCAGAGAAGGTGCTAGCAACCAGGGATGAATCCTTAGGGCAATTCTGCAGAATTACAGAATATCAGCGTTTTGACATGTTGTGAACACGTCTTACTAGTGCGTGCCGAAAGTATGTAGCCTCTGTAGTGGAGATGTCACTGCACCTATAACTCTCCTCACAACTGTCCACCACACTATTTCAATATCTAACCTGTGGATGTGTGCTCTGAACCTTTCAAAGGATATTATTCCATTTCAAACAGCTATTTTCAGTCTGTGTATTTTTAGCACCTTTTGCCTTTTCAAAGAGCATCCCCTTCAGCTGAGGTGTAGGTAAACAGGCTTTCTGTTGGTAAGGCCTTTTCAAATGTTAATTGACTTCCTCCCTCTCAAGGGAAATCTCTTTACCATCTCCTAGAGAAGCAAGTTTTTGTTAGTAGGTTAATTATTTTCTCTCCACAGGTAGTCTGACTCACTATGCTACAGGGCTTTTTTGTGTGCACCAGAACAAGAGCCTGCGAATTCCAATATAAAGAAAATGATTGTGCTACCAGTTCTTTTGAACAGTAACCCTCTATGTCTATGTAAACAATAAGTTACTAGTTCAGGCCCCCATGTACTGATAAGATTGATTTTATTATCTTTCAACTCTCTCTGGTAAATGTTTTAGTCTAGTCCTGGGATGATTTGAGGATAATGGTTCCACAGTCTCTATTGTGTCTTATGCCATCCTCAAATTTTAGCCAGGAAACATGTTAGATAGTTATGCTGGTTTATTGATTTTTTGATTCATAATAGTCAAAGCGCAGTCTTGAAAATAACGTGTGATCTATTTGTAGAACCCATATTATGTTTGCCTTTTATTCATTTTATTCTCAGATTTGGCTTCTGATCAGTTTGTTCCTTTTAAAAATGAACAAAAGCATTTCCAGCTATGTCAAACCTTTTCCTTTTTTTTTTTTCCTTCTGCTTCTTAATCTCCACGTGCATGTGTGTTATGGGCCTGACTCTGCATCAGTGTAGTTCTTTTGAAAGAGAGTAATATAAATCAGATCCTCTTGATGAGGATAAGGTAGTTGTACTTGTTTTTTACTCGCGTTTCCTATATTGCCAATCTCGTCAGGTATATAGCTTCAGCATTACTATCATATGTAGTACTATGAAATTAGTATGAAAGTTATATCTGTCCACATTTGGTATATCTTTTGTCTGCTCTTTGATCCTGCAGTGTCATCTGTTTTGTGCTGTCTGCCACAGGCTGCATCTTTAAATTTTGCTTCGTTAATTTGTTACTCTCCATCTACATTGAAGCCATGTGTGAGGGAGAGTGGGAGTACTGTTCGCTTTACAATTGGGTGCTGCTAACACTTTTAGTGTATTCCTAGTCTGGCAGCCTAGTTCAGTGTTTAAACACCTAGCCATTCAGACAGAAGCAATTAAGTCTTTGAGGCTAAACTTGCAGCACCAAAGGCCTTGCATTCTTTGAATACTAATCCTTATGTCATCTCTCATCACTACTTGGTCTCTGTAGGACTGCAGAAATAGGGAGCCTAATCTGTTTAGCTGTTTTTTCCCCTTCTTTATGCACGTCTGCAAAGACACAACTCCAAAATTTGACACGATTAAGATGGGCCTGGCTAACTGAACGTTCTGCCCGTTTTTAAAGTAGAACATTGCTGTTAGCCTTCTTCATTTGGAGTCAGTAGTCAAGGGCTTCTCCACACTGGGATATGATGCTGTTTTAATTAGCATATGTTGAAACACATTTTTTTTCCCCTTCCCCACGGCATACACCAACCCCATGATAATTTGTCATGCTCATTGACTGCCTTTTGGTCCCCTGATTCCCTGTTTTGTTTTCTCTCTCTAATGAACTCTGCTTGCTTAAATTATTCAACTCTCTTTCCAAAGCAGAACTTTTTTTTAAATCATATTCTAATTGGATCTCCATCAGTTGATGTGTGTGTCTACATATGATTTCCAGCTGTTCTGCACAGTTTACTTTTTTTTTTTTTTTTTTTGGAACATACTTCTACCTCCTCTGTTACGTTATTGATATTTCTCCAACTAAAGTTGTTTCCAACCAATTTCTTTCGCAAATGAAACAACTATTGTTCATTTAAAGGCGTGGTAGGTCTTATTTCAATATTAAGTGTTTCTACATTCTTCTGTCTACCGTTTGTTACGCACATTCCTTTTTTCATCTCTAAACTTTCCTGGAATTATTTGGCAACTGGTGGTTCTGCCCATCTATTGAAATTGCATTAACAGCACATACTTAGCAACAGCTCATTCCTCCAAAATCTTCTAATATTTTCGCATAAAATAAATAACTTAATATATCCTACCTTTTTTTGACTAGCTTCTCTACCTCTCCACTGTAAACATTCTTCCTCCTCCTGAGTTAACTTGCTCAGTCCTGTCTGAAAGCCTTT